GATAGAAGCAAATATTTTCAAAGTTAAAGTTTGTTTTTAAAAATTCTGAAACGATTATCTACATATAAGAAAAGAAGATATGTCTCAATTATTGTGTATATTTTGCCAGAACACAGAATTGTGTTCTCTTTCTCTCGTACGTGTGTGTGTGTGTGTGTGTGTGTGTGTGTGTGTTTATGCCCTTTCATAACTTGTTTCTCTGGGACCCTATCTGGATAAGATCAATCACTCTCCACTGGGATCAATTCATTTATACTAAATTTGTTAGGCAAAATAATAACAATGTTTTGAATTACTAAAGCACTGCTTTAGAATATAATCAGCAGACTCTCAGTTATCAATCCCTAACTTGCTTTAAATGTCAATCACTTTCAAAGTAAGAGCCCTAAATATATAGTGTATATGTAACTTAAAATTCTTACTATATAACAGTATAAATATTGGTTCCAACTTATCAAACACATTCCCACAATGAATTCTAAAATGGTAATATTAAAAAAGGAAGCGAGAATATAAGCCTGTATTAATTGTGACAAAGGGTCTGCTTATTTTGATAATTTGTCATAGACTCTCTCTTTATAATAACAGTTTGCATGCTCAAAGTGCAGAATAGATCATTTAAAGGCAATTTATTCTTAAAATACACTGAATCCCTAAAGTAAAACCTATGAGAGGCAAACTTCAGTGGAAAATAATGTTTCTAAATTTTATTAGTAAAAGGCAAACTCTTATGAAGATTCTAGATGTAAGTATTTAAAATACCAATCTGGAGAGGAAAACAAAGCTGATTTGCCTGTCATTTTACAGAGCTATTAAGAATACTGACAGCTAAGTTATAACTTTAATCAGAATACAGAGAGACTAATTCTCCCAAAATTTTTTCAAAACTTTTCAATTTTCAAAATTCACATGACATTTAGTTCTCTCATTACTGATGCTCTCCATTGCTCTCCATTACACACTGCCTAGAATATGACACCGCAGTATCTTGCAAGTTCAGTCTATGGTTCTACTTCCTGACGTGTACAATAACACTAATAAATTATGTTCTGGGCTTAGCACAACATTTACAAATGGAAAACACAAAAGAAATCACTGTTCGTACAGTCGTAAGAATGGGAAGGAGCCCTATAGAGGCCATATAGTTTAAAGTAATTTTCAGCATGTTCTAACTTCAACATAGATTTTCAATTTACCATTTCCAAGACACCAATACAATGGACTGTATCTACAAAAACATTGTATTTAAATGACCACACTTTAACTTGTCCATTGTGTAGTTTTATGATCTTAAACTTCAAATGGAAATGTTTAACTTGTTAAAAATCAATACCCTGACAAAAGGTAAAAAAAAAAAAAAAAAAAGAACATGATAAATAATTCTAAGGTACTATTCTAGTAAACTTAAAGCCCCTACAAATTCATTTTGTGTAACATAGCAGACTTTTTTCAATAAGAATCACCTTTTTTCCCATAATGCCATAAATAACTACAGAAAACTTTAAGCATTAAAAGGAAGGATTATAAACACCTTATTAAAATAAAATCCCATCTGCAGTAATTTTCTTGATATGATCTACATAATATAAAATGCACTTGTTAGCAGTCAACAAATACTAAATTTTGTGAATCGCTTGCCTTTTACCAGTTACATTTTAATAAAGTATTAGCCAAGTATTTATGAACCAAACTTTTCTGTTCCAGAAACCAAGAGCCACACTCCCTATAGCTTCTAGAAGCCTAAATGTTTCTGCTCCTTCCCTTCCTACATAAGATACTAAGCCCTCATATTATAGTCTTATCTAGTTACATTCCTGATAATCACTATTCTTTTCTACATTGTTATTTGGGGCACTTTTATTTGGATAACAAAGACTATTCAAGCATAAAACTAATCTATCCTCTCACTCAAACCACACTATGCAAATAATACTGATTATTCTATATTCATTTTCTCCAAATTACTCAGTGATAGGTTTGATGTATCAGGTTCCAGTTAATAAGGCTCGATACGCAGATCATTATGTGCTATACCCTGCAACATTCAAAGTGCTTAACACAGTTTACCAACATCCTTCTTCTCTCCAGAATAGTAAATATCCTGTCACAGCACCGAGAAAACAGTGTTTTGCTCTAAAGAATGTAGTTCCTGAGCACTTCTTAAAGCAGCTGTTAGCAACTTCCAGACGCCTGTCGGACTATTCCTTTGGTTAAATTAATCATGGGTCATCCTGTTCCACTTCACTTTTTCCTTTTTCATCTTGCAATAAACATTTTTTAAAAACCTAAAGGTCTACGTTAAAAATAAGCAAGTGAAGTACTAATAAAAATAAGCATTACTTTAGCTCCATTACTTTTCCCAAAGAAATCATGTCAGGATCCTTACAGAATTACTTGAACTACAAAAGATGAATTGCATAGGTCACTGGAAGACATTAAAAGGATATCATTTTCGACTTGGCCTTAACAAACATGTTTGCAAGTTTTCAAGAGCGAGACTGTCCTATATTACAAAGGTGCTGGTGCAGCCTATCAAAACTGCGCTGCTTAAATGCAAGCCCTGAATACCCTGCACTTAGCAAACTGCAGGTATGTCGAGCTACCTGCTGAGCTTTCTGCACCCTCTGACACCCAGGGATGCTCCTACCGGCAACTGCTTTCCATCCTTTAAAACGGCCTCCTTCCACCCCTCAAAAAATACACATTAGACTTAGACGTGTCTGCATACGAATACGGAACTACTAATACCACTAGGTACTATGGCTCTCAAAGAATCCTCTTCAGCAACCTCCCCTGGGACGTGTGCTCAGCGGAGCTTTGAACCGGTGAGACTCGCTGCCAGCTGCCTTTGCAAAGGCAGCACCAGAGGCACACTCAATACCGCATTGCTGCTGCTGACTTTTTCTAGCAGCTTCAAAAAAAAAAAAAAAAGAAATCAGCCCAGTACCCCGCAGACCCGGCTGGCTCTTCTGCAGCACGAAAAAGAAACCACCGCATTGCTCAGCCTGGAAGACCGTGGAGCCAGACGAAGGGCGGGGAAACGGCCGCCGTCGAGAGGCTCGGTCGAGGGCGGGGTGCTGGGGCGAGCAAGGAAGGCGTCCGGAGTGCAGGGGACCGCGACCGAGCGGCAGCCCCGGCGCCGGCATCGAG